TACCTAACACGTTATTGCCACACAATTTTTAATGGATCCGGATCCCCTCCTGAGCATAGGGTGGGAATCCTCCTGACCGGATCATCTGGACCATTGAAATTTGATCCAACAACTACAATAATTATAATTTTAGGAGGATCCTCCTGTTTGTAGCCGTTTGATCAAATTTCAATGGTCCAGATGACCCGATCAGGAGGATCCCCACCCTATGCTCAGGAGGGGATCCGGTTCATTTTTAATAAGACATACAAAATTCATCCAACACATATTTTTAACATATTTTTGAAAGAATTAAAATTACTAATCAAGAAATATTAAAATTAAAATAATGGCCCAATTTTTAAAAGTTTTAGCTAAGTTGTCGAATAATACATGGATGCATTTTCACATATTATAATCATTCCGCATTTTATTAACTATGATTAGGGGTTAAAAGGCTATAAATATTCTTTGTGCCTAAATTTTTTAGCACCCCGGATTTTATTTATAAATGTTTGCACTCCTATGCTAGCAGGTTTCACATGATTATGTTAAATGAGTAAAATAAATTAGTGTAAATTACATAAAATTATCTCAACTATAAACTAAATCACAATGTCATACTCTATGTTTTAATAATATAATGTCATATATCATCTTACGAATTTGTTGTAATTTCAAACCTCCATTAATTTTTCTGTTAATTTCTTTATTAAATGTTAACGTGGCTTGAGGTGGTCCTACTTCCAAACCCAACTGGATTAAAAAAATTAAAAATAAAACTATTTAAATATTTTTATAAAAAAATGTAGGACCCATCCCTACAAACTCATCAACCTCACCTTCTTCCCCAATCCACCGACGACATCGATCTCATCGTCTTCTCCCTCATCTAGTCCCACTCCTTCCTCGGCTGCTCCCTCCACCTCAACCTTCTCTGCCACTCCTTCGACTCCTCCCTTCGTTTCTCATTTCTCTTCCTGTAGGACTTTCCAATTTTCCACAGCCCCAACTCACCCATCCTAAACCACCTGCAACCTCCAATAGCCCAACCAATCCTTCCCCCACCCAGACCCCCATATTCGCAGACAACCACCCTAAGCGCTCCAAATATTATATCCTTTTCAAATATGAGTCTCCTCCATCCTATCATTTTCGGAAATTTCATGAATAATTTATTTGAAATCTTTAATTTTCCTTTCTAGTTTTCTTAGAATAGCTTCAATTGGAACTTCTTATATTTTCCAATTCAAGTTCTGAAGGCATTAGAATTAGAACCCAATGGGGCTTTACCTCTAGAATTTGGAGTGATAAAAATAGCACCATAACCCACCATAGCCACCACATGTCTGATCTCTGGTTCACCGGAACCAAGTTCTCCTATTTTCCAGAAAACTAGAAAAGTTAAAAGAAAAAGGAAAGAAGCTCTAGTTCATTGTGCTTGCATCTCGTTCATGAGGAAGACAACAGAAAAGGAAGAAAGGGGAGAAAAAAGAGACTTACGGGAGGCAGAGAAGGGGAAGAAGAAGGCAGAAGGTTAAGGTGGATGGAGTGGCCAGCTAGTGGCCAGCTAGGGAAGAAGGTGAGGTTGATAGTTTGTAAGGATGGGTCCCACCATTTTTTATAAAAATAATTAAATAATTTTATTTTGAGTAAATTACAAAAAATCACTTTAATTATAGGTCACATCACAATTATACCTTATATTTTAAACATTACAATATCGTGCTTCGAATTTACGAATACATTACAATATCATATCGCCGTTAAAAATTCCGTCAATTTATTTATTAAATACTGACCTAACAACAAATTAATGAAATATCATCAAATTTGTGCCACGTGCCAAAAAAATAATTTCAATAAAGTTTAATAATCTAATAATGCCAAAAACAAGAAAATCTATTTAAAATATAAAAAAGTTTAATCATTTTAAAAGAAAAAGTTGCAGACCTTCCCATCTAAACCAAAGTTTTAAATATTGATAATATCGACGATATTTCGTCGATATTATCGGATTTTTGCTTTACCGATATTTTAATAGGTATCCAAGAAGTTTTCGTCAAAATATCGCGATATTATCGATAATATCGATAATATCGAGATATATAGGTAATATCGCGATATTACCTATAATACCACGAAATACTTCAAAAATACTTATAATACTGAAAATATTAAACTAACAATAACAGATACCACATCAGATCTTAGCCAAAAGATCGAGAAAGGAGTGCCTTGGAATGTGGGTTTTATAGAGCTGTTTGCTTGCTCACTTCCATTGCACAGCCGATGTGGGATGCAAACTAGCTTTTATAGGATTGTTTGCTTGCTCAGTTCTATTGCACAGCCGATGTGGGATAGTGGGATAACTTATCAGTCAGTCAAAAGGGTTTTGATTTGTTGCGGTGTGGGGTGAGATAAAAAGTTCTCATCTTTCCATCATATAACTTCTGCATCACCTTTTTTTTTTTTAAATAATATTATTTATATTATAAAGATAGAAAATAAGCTAAACGGTAACTACTAGAAGCAAAGTTCTTTTTTCCTCATCTTACTGCATGGATGTAAGAAAAGTTCCAAATCGGAGAGTTAATTAAGAAATTCCTCACAAAGTTTATTAGGAGTTGTGTCATAACTCTTATTGCCAATTAATTTTGGGGTTGAAACCTTAGTTTTCTTCATGGATCTGGAGCATATATGCTTGCATATTAAAGGAAGTTGAGTTTCCACTATAAAAAGTTATTACAAATAGTTACCACACCCAATACTACATGTATGTTTGGGTGAGAGACTCCCAAACTACAAGGCATGCATTTTAGGCAAATGAAGAAGAAATCTGTCTCACAAAGTTAAATAGGAGGAATTAGAAATGTATCACATGAACATTACAAAGATATGTAAAAGAAATTTGTTAATGACTCATTTTAAGCAGTCATTTGCAAATCCATCACGTGTTGCATTTCTAATCTCGCATATCTATCTTTTTGTGATTCATTTCTTCATGACTATGTCTAAATTCTCCTAAAATGCATAGTCATTTCTTCATGACTATATTTAAATCATGCTCTCCAATATGATTAAAATGAGGGGGGTAACCATGTCTAAATTGAACACATTGAACGGGGGGTAACCATTTCTAAATTAATAAAGAAATGAATCACATTGAGGGGAATTTTACATTGAGACGTGGTTACATCCCTCACTCATGTCTAAATTAATAAAGAAATGAATCACATTGAACAAAATGAGGGGGGTAACCATGCTCTCCAATAATTCGCATATCTATCTTTTTGTTTTAGAGCGTTCAATGTGATTCATTTTTTTTGTTTCTCACTCACTCATGTCTAAATCTTGTCGAGTTGCACATATTTAGTTGTACAAATGAGCATTAAATTGTTAATATCATGCAATGTATACAGCGTAAAATATTGTACAAATTCATTATATATAAACGATTATGGTGTGTTTAAACTTCTTTCATTAATTACTACATATTTTCTGCACTCACAATGTTTGTCAGCTCGCTATATAATCAACTTGATAATGTTAAATCCATCGTGCAATGCATTTCCTTCCATTTTTTTTTATAAACTAATAGATAATTGACTAAATAAACATCCTGCAAAGTTTCAATAAAAATTTCCAAGTTTTTCTTACAATTTCCGTGGTTTCCATGTAATTTTTATCGATATCGATATTATCCCGATATTTTCATCGATATTTCCGTGTTTTTGAATTACTGATATTTCCGATATTCCCGATATTTTCTTCCTTGCCCATCACCCATCTTCCCCAACCACCCCCAACCCTCTCGACCCTTCGTTGCGCAATCCACCAGAATCATCCAGCCATAACACCCCCCCCCTGCCCATCACCCATCTTCCCCAACCAACCCCAACCCTCTCGACCCTTCGTTGCGCAATCCACCAGAATCATCCAGCCATAACACCCCCCCCCAATCGAATCATCCACACCGCAATTACATTACTCCTCAATTTTTGGGGTTTTGGTGATGAGAAAGGAGGTGGAGAACGGCGAGGTTTGGTGGCAGAGGAGGAAGTGAGAGTGGGTGAGTGGATTCACCAACGACTCGGCACTGATCGCAGTAGGCAGATCGTCTGGAGCGGGTGACTCCTCGTCCACCACGGTGAAGGGAAGCACGGCGGTCGGGTTGCCAGCTCGTCGCTTGCATCGTCGTTGGCGATAGGGTCTTCTCTTAGTTCTCTCCACATCGGATCGTGCGGCTATCGGGTCATCTCTCAAATATGGATCATACGACTATCTGGTGCAGAGGTCTGCAACTATGGCAATGGATGCCATCGGCTGTTGTCGTCGGAAGTAGATTGAGGATAGAAGAGAAGGAGGCTATAGAGTGAATTTCATTAATTTAGGGCCCAAATTGTAAATATATATATATATATATATATAATTTTTTTTTTAATTTTATAATATTTTTTATTATTTTCAAATATTTATAAATAATAACAATTTTTAATTAGTTTTTGTCCATGTGGCTTAAACTTGACATCTATATTAACAAAAATGTGAGCTTCACAGTTGTAACGTCATCATTTAACAGATAAATTAACAGAAAATTTAACTAAAGTGTGACATTGCAATGAATATCTAAGATGAGATGTGATATTGCAATGTTTAAAAGATGAGGTATGAGTTTGTTATTTGACATAAAGTTATGGTGGTAAAATGAAATTTACTCTTTTATTTTTAATTTTTAATCTAGTTGGGTTAAGGATAGACCCATCTCAAGCCACGTTAGCACTTAACAAAAAGTTGACAGATGTCTGACATTGCAACAAATTCGTAAGATGAGGTATGACTTTGTAATTTTTAAAACATAAGGTATAAGATTGTGATTCAATCTATAATTAAGGTAGTATTATGTAATTTACCTAGAAAGTTATTAGGTAATTTCTAAGAGTGGAATTTCCGAATAAAAAAAACATAAAAACATAAGGGAATTGCTAGGATTAATTAACTCTAAAAATAGTTATCATACACTTCCAAATAAAAAAACATTAAAAATATGGAAAGCCAAAAAACGAAAGGCAGCCCATGATAAGCAAACATAGTACAAAGGCCCCAAAGAAAAATTAGAAGATGCAAACTCAAGCCTATACAAATTAAATAGGAGAAAATGAAATTTTGCCCTCAACTCAGTTGACTGGAACAATACTTTCCACATAAATAAGAGCTTGTAAATCTATAACCTCATTCATAATAGGAGGAATATGAAGATACTTGAGGTTTCTGGTACTCGAATTATAAGAGGTGACTCTTCTATCTGAGGTAGCCATAAGAAACTCGTCACTTTTCCAAAATGTCAATGGATTCTCATTGTGTTTAAAGGGTCCAATGGCTAGGAGTTTTGTCCATGAACTCTTAACTCCGTGATAGTCATCCATTACCCATATTTCAAATATTTCAAATAATCTAGAATTGTCACTTGGACCGTAAAGAGAGCAAAAACAAGCAAGGGATTCATTATACAGAAAAAGATTACAAAACTGCAAACTGGATTCTCTCCCAAGAGGCATTTGTATTCTATGAAATATCTCATCACCTAAATCAAATGAAAGTATGAATTCCTCGCCATCATTTGCAATCCAATAACAAAATCCCTTCAAGTACACTGGACAAGAATCGAGATAGCTTTTACTTGATATATCAATCTTGATCTCCTTCCAAGAGTTAGCAGTCGTGGTGTATACCTGAGCCGTATGAGGAAGATCAATACGATGGTAATATGTTCGTTCAGCATCTGAATACTCACAATTTTCTGTAATTCGCACAACCTTGTATTCTTTAGCTTTGCAATCATAGCCGAATCCCAATCCTCCAAAGCTCGTCTCCAATTGGAATTTTATGTTGGGAAGGGGTAGAAGGAGGCAATCGGGAAGTTGCCTGAATTCCCCAATTGCAGGATTGCATAAAACAACATTTTTCCCTGTTATTACACAGACAATCCCATTGCAATGACCGTGAATCACTACAGGATGATGGTCTTCCATTGGAAACGGTATATTTAGGTCCTCAACATCATAATAAAGGTTGTGCTCATCACTATCAATGGAAAGACTAATCATGGACCAAAAAACTTCATATTTCCAACTGTTGTCTGGGAAAACGGGCATCTGAGAACGGTTGAGAAGGATACAAGTGTTGGATGAGCGTTTGTTGTCCACGGAATTGTTGAGGTGTTTGGCCACAAAACTTGGACTATTGATGAGAGTGCACCAAGACTTGCGTATGCATTTGAATCGCATCAGAGACTTGGGTGGCAACCTGGACAAAATTTCGACCACCTTATCTTCAGGGGTTTCACTTTCATGCACCTGGGACATTTCGGCAGTTTTGTTCCACAAGAATTCTTCACATGTATATATACATAGGAAAAGAACACCACCAGTTTGAGAGACAAGCTAAATAAAACTCTAAGTCGTTAAGGCCTGGTAGATCGAGGTCCAATTATTAAACATATTACCACATAAGACGCCAAAATTCAACAGTATAAATAAACTTGGAGTTCCACAACCACAACATATTTAGCTATAGAAAACATGGGTGACCCAGTCACTTTCGAGTTTTTTGGAGGATCATATGTTCAAATTTTACTATTGTTAATTTTTTTAACTAATTAAAAATAATCATTCGAATTTTGTCTTTTAGCTTTACATTAAATTGATGAGAAGATGAGCATGATATCCGTATAGCCAGCATGTAACATCACACGATTTTAATTAACTAAGAAAGAAAAATTCACATATTCACACGAATTTTAATTAATTAAGCTAATTTTTTCATTAGAAATACAATCACATAACTGTATCTTATTACAACTATGACTTCTATTTAAGCACCATTTCGCAATAAAGTTTACCCCAATTTCTATCTAAGCGCCGTTAAAATTAAAAAATTAGACATTTTCTCAGTTCACTACATTTCTTCCAAAATGCCGTCAAACATGAACACATCATCCACAAACACCCCAACGCAGCCTCCCATGCACCCCCAATTTTTGAACTTCCAACGGTGGATGACAAGGGTACAAATAGCCTAAAACTCAAAAACATTGCTCCACTGGCCCAAAAATTGAAGGGAATCAATAGGCCCCACTGTACCCAACTTAGTGTTAAGTTAAGGCAAGAATTTTTAGTTTTTTTTTTTTTTTTTTTTTTTTTTTTTTTTTCCTTTTTTCCTACCAACTTTAGCTGACAGAAGGCCACACGCAAAGAAATCGTTTTTAGTTGGCTTTAGCCAAAAGGAGGAGACGTCAAATTAAACTTGGGCAAACAACTACATAGTTAAACTTGGATAAACAAAGTTTCATATAACTTTTATGCAATCATATGTTCAAAAAATATTAAAATATGTTTAAAACTCGAGACGAAAATTGGAGGAAGACTGGAATGAGTGCTAACAGAGAGCATGGGGATGTAGTAGGTATGAAAGCAAGTAAGAGTGTTAAAGAATGTGGCTCTGCTGCTGAGGATGCCGTCGCATCCATTATGGCGGCGCCTAGGCCTAAAGTGGGGAGTCTAAAGTCTGAGGAAGCGTATCCGAGAGGAGGTTGCTGAAGCAGAAGGGAGTCACAAGAGTCCTCTTGATGAAATTGACAGATGAAGTGCATCACTTGGAACTGTAGGGGTCTAGGGAGACCTGATTTTAACTGTATTTTAGTTTTGTGTACTTCAATTAAACTGGACCTTTTTTGCTTGTTTGAAATGAAGATGTCTTTAGATAAGGTCTAAAAATACTTCTATGGGAGGTTCTTTAATCCGGTTTTTTGCTACGATCTCATTGGGTGGAATTTGCTTGTTTTCGAATTCTACCAGTGTTGATGTTTCGTTTGGAAATCCATTTCCCGGTTTATTCACTGTGTTGTGAAGGATTTGTGCAATGACCGTCTGCAGTTTGTTACTTTTGTTCATGCCTTCCTAAAAAACATTTACGGGATTGTCTTTGGGAGGAAATTTTAACTCAATCCTTTTAATCAACCTTGGTGTCTAATTGGGGATTTTAACCATATTTTTTACCCTTTAGAAAAGCTTGGTGGTTGTCAAAGTACCACAGTTACATGAATATGTTTATTACTTTCATGAACAATGGAAATCTTCATCCCTAAACGCAACCGATGTGCCTTATACTTGGTGTAATGGTCACACCGATAACACTAGTCTATGAAAAACTTGACAGAGGTATAGCTAATCCTCAGTGGCTAACTGAATTTCATGATTATAGCTAGCATAACTTCCCAATTTGTAGCTTTGATCATAGTCCCATACTACTAATAAATATTTTGATAACGGTGCGTAATGCTAATTATACCTTTTACGTTTGAAGTGGTTGCATCACCCTAACTCTAAGGATTTTGTAAAGAAACCATGGCACAGTGTTGATTGCTTCAGAACATTGACAAATTTAGGGATTGTGCTGGGTCCCGTAAGTTCTTTGTTAAAAACTGGAATAAGGAGACATTTGGTGATATCAAAATCACAAGAATAAGCTTTTAGATGCCCAAAGTTGTTGAATCCCACATCGGCTAGAGGGAAAGGAGAAAAACAGTTTAAATAGAATTACCCCACTTAAACCAACACCAAGGTTTTTTGTGATAAAACTTCACACCTAACAGATTGTGTAGATAGCAATTACTAAGTTGGAGACAATATCAATATTGTTGGAAGTGGGTCATCGGCCTGTCTCTCCCATAATTCTACATGGTATCAAAGCCAGAGACCGGGCCCGTACTGCTACGTGATGGGTGGATCCCCTTGACCTTGCGTGAGTGGGTTGATAGGGATTTTACTACTCATGTGAACGGGTTAAAAACTCCTATTATACTTGCAAGAATCACAAAAGGTTGTTGTAGTATAAACGGATCTCGCAAAGTTATTTTCCACAGAGATTATTAAATAATTCAAAGCAAACCAAATTCTAAGTTATTGTAAAGTAGAAATTGAGGTGATTGATTTTATAACCTACTTAAATTAAAAACGAAATTAATTAATTAAAATAAACAATCTGCAATATTAGAGCAGGGGAAAAAGAAAACAGTTTATGGAAGAATCAAATTAAGAAAGCACTAGGGTTCCACCATCACCTAGCAATCCTATGAATTTTTACCAATTACTTATGATCTACACATGCCACTTTGAAGATTAGATTTTTCTAATTCATATTCTACTTGGAACCTCCAACATAGAACGTATATCTAACATGCAACCCGTTCGGACGTTCGGATCAAATCTGAACATGAAAGACTCATTATGAAAATCCTTTGAAAGACCATGCAATCCTTAAGACGTGGTGTTCATCCTAAGTGAAATTACAATTATTAATCGCAAGAAGCCAACGTCAATTTCAGGGAACCTTCCGACCAAAATTGCATCAAATTACTTTTTCTAAAGATCCTAATGGTGATCAGGCATTAAGACAATTATATAGTTTTTATCCCGGTGATTAATAATTCAAAGTATGTATGCAATCAATCATAAGCAATTAAATAAAAATCACATATTCATGCTAAGGCTTAAGGCTTCACCCTAGCAAAAGAAATTAGTTACGCATATTCATAATTGAAATCATAGAAAATATTATTAAGAAAATGATTGAAAACACCTTCAAGTGAAAATCTCCAAAACCCTAGCAATTCTCTCTGTCTCCAAAGTTGCATAAAAGAAAGCGTAGTCTAAAACTGTAAACGGCCAAGCAAATATATCTGCTCAGCCCCCACACAAACCCTAAAAACAGGTCCACTATTCCCACTAGGAAACTAATAATAATAATAAATAAAATAGAAAACATAACTCTAAATTAAATGGTAAAAGTCGCCTAAAATCTGAACAACCACGTTTTGGACCCATAAGCTGCTCCAAAACTGGCCCAATATAGCTGGATTTAATGTTTGGAATATTCTGAACACTTCTCCAGAAGGTCACGAACTCATCTGAGGTCATCTTGGGCTCCAAAAACGCAATTTAAGCCTAAAAACGTCATTTTCCAGCACTGCGCACTGCTCCTTTATTTTATCGCCAGAAAATAACCGTTTGGTGGAAAAATCCCAGATTTTGATACGATCAAGCTAAATGACTCACGAATGTCCTCCAACTAGAACTACTCCAAAATTCATCCATTTGATCCTGTTTTACTCCAGAGGAAGTCGAAAGTCCTATATTGAAAATACAATTCAAAGTATCAAAATTCTTCCAAAATATTAACCAAAATATACTAGGATTAGGGTAAAATATATAATATAAAATATACTCATCATGGGTCCTTTGACCCCGTGTGTAGCGTGAGTCCCCTTGACTGCACGTAGTTGTCGATGTACGGATCTCCATTTGTGACCCACAAAAATGGGGTCTCACATGCGAGCCATACCCCGTGTGTAGCGTGATTGCCCTTGACTCCACGTGGTTGCCGATGTGCGGATCTCCCCTTGACCTTGCGTGAGAGGGTCCTTTGACCCCGTGTGTAGCGTGAGTCCTCTTGACTGCACGTGGTTGCCGATGTGCGGATCTCCACGTGTGACCCACAAAAATGGGGTCTCATGTGCGGGGCTTGTTCAATCCCACATCGGCTAGAGGGAAAGGAGAAAAACAATTTAAATAGAATTACCCCGTTATATCCAAGTTAGGGACAATATCGATGTTGTTGGAAGTGAACTCTCGGCCCGTCTCTTTGGTAATTTTACAAAAGTGATATACACGATAAAATTATGATGGTTCAAGATACAAACATTAATATGGATTTGGAAGTTAAAACTAGAGATAAGTGAAGTGTTAAAGGAAGAGGAAATTATGTGGGCGCAGAAAGCCAAGGTTAAAAGGTTGCAATTGGGGGATAAAAATACAAATTACTTTCAAATTGTAGCAACTATTTGTAAAAAGAGAAATGAAATTAGAAAAATCAAAGATGGTAATAGTTTTTTATGGAATTATGGTGAGGGTCTTGAGCAGATATTTATGCAGGAATTTAAGCTGCGTTTCTCCTGTGAAGGCCCCCTTCTGATAATATGGCTGCGTTGGCTGATATTATTAGCACTTGCATTAATAGCCAGCATAATATGCCGCTTCTTAAGCTAGTAACTGAAGAGGAAATTTAGGACTCAGTTAAGAGTATTGATGCCTTAAAGGCCCTCGGCCTGGATGGTTTAACTACAGCCTTTTATCATGAATGTTGACATAATTAAAAATTCAATGATTAAAGAGTTCTTTCAAAATAACTCATGCCTAAGGCTTATTTACCATACAAATATTGCTTTAGTCCCGAAAGTGGATAACCCTGAAATAATTGAATAATTAAATACCTATAAGTCTTTGTAATGTTAGTTATAAAATAATAATTAAGATTATAAATAAAAGGCTAAAACCAGTCTTAGAACTTTGTATTTCTTATAACCAAGGTGTCTTTGCCTCTAGGCGATTCATTCATGATAATAT